ATATAATTCTGTTTATTATATTTTAAAATATATATTTTTTTTATTTCAGCCATCTTGCAGTTAACTACCAGCAACAAAATCGTCAACGATGCGACACCGACAACACTCGTTACACACAGACAATGTCACAACTTGTCTGCTGCTGTTATCGCTGCTAATAGCTGCACCCATAGCTGCAAAGGCCGCCAGAAATTCGCGGTCGCACTTAGCTGGCAATGATAAGCCAAGTGTCGCAGCTGCAGCAGCAACTGCTAAGGCTGCCGGCTATCAAGCGCAGAGCGTCGAAGAAAATGAAGACGTTGGCTACTCAGCGGCAATTGTCACAAGTGAAGTCAATAAAACTGCAAAAGAAGACTCTTTGGCGGCGCTGGAGAACAATGAAAATGTCGGGCCTGCACAAGGTGAAGACAAAACAAAAACAACAAACACAGCTGAGCAGTTGGAGCAAGAAAACAAGGAATTACAATTAGATATTGATGATGAAGACATGGAATTCATAGACAAAGCCGGCGATGAAAATGATATTGCCAATGATAAAGAGAGCAGCTTTCAAAAGTGCGATAACGAGTTAATTGGTTTCGAGATTACAACGGGGTGAGTGGATCAAATCATTTAAAAAATTATAAGTTTAAATCTATTTATGATAGAACTTTTTAGGTCAGAAAAAAATAAACAAAAATAAAAAAAAATATATCTCTTATATATATATATATCTCCGATTATCTAAAAGAAAATGCGATGCGCTAATCTTAGAGATTATCTTACATTTTTTTATCGCCTCAGTTATGTCTTCTCCGCACCAGGAAAGCTACTAACTTCAATGCCAGGCACACTAATGTTAACGGATTGCTTGGACGCCTGCCGGAAAAATGCAGCTTGTCATGCGGCAAATTATGAGACTGGCCTATGTGTGCTCTTCTCGGCGAATGCGGATAAGCTGCCAGGTGGGTTTCAAAGAACTTATATTGAAAATGTCCAATATGCAATGAGATTATGATACTGCAATAATATACCCTCAGATAAACTGTATTTGCAGTAAACTCTCTGTTGCGTGATACTTGATATATAAAAGTCTAAATTTTTAAGTACTTTTGTTATATATGTATTCACTACTTTGTTGTCCAATTTCATTTAAAACATAATATTTTCTCATTTTCTTTTAACATAATCAATCATTTTTTTATTTCAATCGCCATGTAGGAGCTCTTGCCAAGTCTCAGTTCCCCGTCTTTACACTTTATGCACAAAAATCGTGTCTCGATCAACGCCCTTGCTCTCGCGCCTGGTATATTGATCGCGTTCAGGGCTACAAATTGAACGGCTACACGAAGCACAAGTTTCCCGCGGAAACACGTCGCAATTGCATACAGTTATGTTTGGGTCAAACGGAATTCACATGCAGGTGAGTCCAATTAGCGCTGATTTACAGATTATATAGACGAGATAAAGCTGATAAAAATAGTATACACGTAAAGAAGCTATTTGTATAATATGTAAAAGAACGGAAAATAAAAACCAAAATATGTTCTCTTCATGTCGCTCAGAAGATGTAAGTTTCACAAATTAATGAGTGTTAGTAAGGTCTTAAAATAATATATATAAAGATATAAGACATTATAACTAAAATGTTGCCTGATCAAAAACAAAGTGGTTTTTAGAACATATAATTTATTCAGTGACTTATTTAGCTAAATATGTACATATTGTGACATAATAAACAGAGTTCGCGCGTGATCCTTAGTTATAACAAGTTTAATTTCGATACATTATAAGCCGCTGAAGCTATGTAACTTGTATCCCTTTATAGAAACCAACTTATATGATTTTCCGTTGAATAACTCAAGCACAAATAAAGCAACCGAAATAGAATTTAGTACTTATATAGTATCACTGATATAATGAGATCTCGGTCTAGTTAGTTTCCTTAGTTAACAACAATTTTCGTGGATGTGGATTGTAGTATTTCACAAGAATTATGGTAAAAATGAAAGTATGCGTCTATGGTGTTTTTCGATCGGGTGAAAGCTTTCAAAGCTTATACTGTTATTAAAGCATAACAAGCCGGCAAAATGCTCAATGTTCTACTGTAAGTTACTGACAGAGCAAGTAAAATTCCTGAAAAAAATTAAAAAAAAAAATTTACAAAATAAATTTCAAACTTTATGAAGATTATTATTTTTACTTACACAAAAAAGAATCGTCTAAGTCTCAAACTCCAAGTTTACGGTTAAGTTTCTATTCGATATCAAAGCTGCAACAGACTTAATTTGGCGCAATAGACTATTAAACAAAATGGAACTATCAAAATGTCGCCAAAATAAAATATATAAAATTGTACAGGGTTTTCCAATAAGAGTGATATGATTTATTTAAAAAAAAAACACACACCAAATGTTAGGAAATTCAATTTTTTTATTGTCATTCAAATGGCCCCACGACTTCTTTTGCAGGAAGGAATTTTCAGATACTTTTTCTACTAAATCAAGTTGTATGTCATAAAATAAAACACTCAATAATGATTTCTAAGCTAGAAGAGCTTCTGAATTATGGCTAAAGAACAATGACTTCAAATAATCTCACAGAAAGTAGTCTAATTGTGTTAAATTAAAATTTCTTGGAAGCTATTTCAAAAATTTGTAAAATAATCGAATCTTCAAACTTCTCTCGCAACAAATCGGTTTTTGCAAGTGCTATATGCCACATAGTTTCATTATGTTGAAATCAGATGTTGCCAAGATCAACTTCTTCTAATTGGGGTCATAAGAAGTTGATTATCAATGATCTATACCGCTCGCTATTGACAGTAATGTTCGAAAGAAGTATGGACCGTTGATTCCACCAGACCAAAAACAACACTAAACTGTCAATTTAAGTGAATTGTTCATTGATAATTTGTGTATTTTTTGGGACAAAAATCGATAGTTTTGTTTATTTTCTGCACCACTCAGTTGAAAGTGAGCCTTATGGGTGAAGATGAGTTTCTTAAAAAATCAGCAAGCCTTGTTTCAAGGCAAAATCAAGAAAATCACGTTGTTTACGCCGATTCAATGGCTTCAGTTCTTGAGTGGGAACAATTTTATGTTAATAAAAGCTTAAATACCTTTTCAAATTCCGCCAGTTTGTGGTCTTGGGATCAACAGTTTGCGGTCGTCAGCAATGCTTACTTGAACGGCAAAAATATTTTCATTACTTCGAGCGGTTTTTTGTCTTATTGGCACTCGAACACTTGATATTACAGATACATTTCAAGGCGACTCGATTAAGTAGTAACTTTTAAGCACAAAATGCGATGGTATCTATACTCATAACCTAAATAAGTTAATTAACGTAAATACATATTAATATAGTATATGATTGTGAGATTAAAATGGAATTTACTTAATTTTTTCCAAGAATTTAGTGACACTGACCCGCATAATTCCCTAAGGCACGCTAAAACTATTTAACTTCATATAAAATATATTAATACTTTTATCGTCATTAATGGAAACACAAAAACTTAACTAGACTTCAAATAGACATATATCATCTTACTAACAACAAAGAGAAAATAAATTATTCATCGGCGCTCCTCTACTTAACAGCGTAGTAATCGCCGCTTACTAACCATAATTATTTATTCAATATATTGGATTTATTGGAGCGTAATTATTTTTTTCCAACGGACAAGCACATGTCCCAAGCCAAATAGAGAATAAATTTGCTTTTAATGCGCACTCTTCGCCATAATAGGTGCTTTGAAATGCGCACAAAAGCTCATCACTCATCACTCAACGCTCCACACACACAGCGCTCATTCACCAGCAGTAATTCATAACGCCGCGCCATTCACCGAACGATCGTGTTGTTGCCTTTAATAGCTTAATCAGTTGCGAATAATGGCCGGTGCGCTCAATAGCGAGCGAGCGGTCGGCCAAACAAGCGGGACACCCGACATTTATGTGTGATCAATTTCGCCTGCAAATCTAGCCAAGAGTAAGCGATGAATGCGGCACACACATACACGCCGCGCAGCGCCAAACTTAAACTTCAACAGAACGCTTTAGTTAACAACATTTCATAGCGCTTTTTATAGCTTAGCATTAGGAAGAGAATCAGCACACAAAAACTAACAACAACAACGCAAGCTTTAATCCTTGTTTTTTTTTACTCGCCACTAATCCGCCACTTTGTGTGGTTGCTTTCTTCTTTCGCTGCAGATCGGCCAATTTTGATCGCATTACAAAAACTTGTGAACTTTCCGAAATGGATCGTATGACGCTGAGCGGCACGAGCGCATTCCAGCAGCAAGATACTGTCGATTATCTAGAGAATAATTGCGCCGATGAGCCAAATAAATTGTGTGAATTCAAGCGCTTACCCGGACGCATATTGAAAACGGTGGATTCGGTGTATCAGGATATTGGCAGTTTTGATGAGTGTCGTGATTTATGTTTGAATGCGCCATACAGGTAAGTGCAGCAGGTGCCACTGGCAACAACAAAATTAAAAAAAAAATATGACCACATATAATACATAAACCAGTAAACGGCAAAATAAAAAAGAGCGAAAAAAATTATAATAAACCCGTCCGATGCGTAGTTGTTGCGCGAGCGCTACTCTGGCGCGTTGTTGCCTTAACAGTTTACTCTCTGCGGACGCAGCCTCAGCTGTCCGACACAGTTAGGCACAGGCGCAGTTGCACTTATAAGTACGCGCACCATAATTGTAGGTTGCAGTGACGTTCGATAATAGCCAATACTCGTATATTAACATGTCAATATATCATGTGTGGTGGCATGCAACATGACATTCGAGATGCCGCCAACGCTTGTTATTATTTATGGCTTTTTGTAGTTCTTCTATAAAGGTTACCCACCCCCCTTCATGCAACTTACCTAATAGCTGACGTTGTAAGCTTGTCCAGGTTATGCCTTGTGAAGCAATATTTTAATAACCTTCTGAGAATTTTTTAGCACGAGTATTTTACGAGGGTCGCCATGCTTAATAGCCACCCAAGTTGTGTGGTTAGAGTTTGCGACAACCAGAAGCCGGAAACGCCTTCAACTGGTTTTACCATCTGATGAGGTTTATCTAGACTGACAGAAGGCTAAATTTTCAAGCACACATCTTAGTAATTTTCGCCTTTAAAATAGATGCCAAAATAAGCATGCCAACGAGTAATCGAATTTTCCATACATTTTATATACGTTTCCATTTCGTATTGGCACTCGATAGAAGAGACTGTAGGAGCTTGATCGGAGTACTAGCTGATCATGATATATTGATATACTGGAAGAGGTATCAATAATAAGGCCACAGAGTCTGTTGAAATTTGCGTCAAGCGCAGGCATCCTAAAGGATGACTACTCCTCATTGACCTAGTGCTTGAACTCCATTGGCTCACAATACTAACCCAAACTAAACTATATACGCCTCGGCTATGATGGTCTGCAGTGCCTTTAGCGAAATTTGGTTTTTAATGGTGTTTTTGATATTTATATATATACGCTGTCAAGCATCTATTTTGGGACTGTAATCTGTGATTATATAAAAACTTGGATAAATATCTCGATATGGATACCTTGTTAGGTTAAATCGTCGAAATATCTCCCCACCAAATAAGTGTGATTCTTTTCTAACCTACCGAACCCTGCGAGCTCTACAATAGCTCTTCCCAACATCTGTTAACCCCGATATTTTTCCCACAGATGCCACTCGTATGACTACGGCGACACCGGTGATATGGTTTGTCGTCTCTCCCACCACAGCCGCATCACACTTAATGACGTGCAAGATCCTTATCTATCGGTACCCGAAGCGACGACATACGAACTCTCATCTTGCTACAATGTGACCATCGAATGCGGCGCCGGCGATATGATTGCGCGCATACGCACCTCCAAGCTCTTCGATGGTAAAGTATACGCTAAGGGCTCACCGAAATCCTGCGCTGTGGATGTGAAGAACTCGCTGGAATTTGAGCTGAGCATGGGCTATCAAAATCTCGAATGCAACGTGCGTCAAAGCAACACCGGTCGCTATATGAACGATGTGGTGATACAACATCACGACACCATTGTGACCTCTTCCGATTTGGGTTTGGCCGTGACATGCCACTATGATTTGACAAATAAATCGGTGACGAATAATGTGCTGCTAGATATTAAGGACGATTTCGAGCCGGCATTGAGCGAAGAGGTGATCGTCGATTCGCCGAATGTGTTGATGAAGATCACATCGCGTGATGGCAGTGATGTGCTGCGCACAGCGGAAGTCGGTGATCCGTTGGCGCTGAAGTTCGAGATACTGGATGCGCAAAGTCCTTACGAGATATTTGTGCGTGAGCTCGTAGCCATGGACGGTAGTGATAATGCTGAGATTACGCTGATCGATTCCAACGGTTGTCCCACCGATCAATTTATAATGGGTCCAATTTACAAGAGTTCGACTTCGGGCAAAGTCTTACTCGCACATTTTGATGCCTTCAAGTTCCCAACGTCAGAGTTGGTACAATTCCGCGCCTTGGTCACACCCTGTATGCCGACTTGTGAGCCCGTGCAATGCAATCAAGAGGATATCGGCGGCGAATTGAAGTCAATGAGTTCGTACGGACGCAGACGACGTGCGCTAAATGTGACAGGTGAGCGCTAATTTAGTGAATTCGGAGAGTTGAGTGTTTTATATAGGTTGAAAAACGAGCACGCGATTTCTTCATTCCATCTTCTTCTAATTTCATTTTGTATATTACCATTGTTGACTTATTTTTTGGTTTACTTCACCCCTTCTATTCATTCAATCAGCATTCGAGGGCGCTGTGTATACCAGACATGAACTGCAACAACAATTACTGGAACAGCAACACCAACAACTCATAAGCCGTCAACGACTTTTACGCCTGCGTAGTAAACGTGCCGCAGTTGCCTCCACCTCAACCAGCCAACCTAGTCAAGAGGACATGTTGTTGGTGCAATCCATACAGATCACCGACAAATTCGGCTTCGATAAGCAGCTGCAGCAGAAGCACACCAAAACATTGTCGAATGATGACAACGAGAAGGCGCTGATCGGCGGCAATGCTGGGTTAGGATATTGCGTTAATGCGATCGGTAAGAGAATTTTATTTTACGAGTGTGTAAATCAGCTTAGTTTTACTTAACATATAGAGGCATTAGAGGCGTTTACGTAGGAAGCTGCGTAAAAGCAATTAATGAGCCTCAGCTCACTTAATGTGCTTTAAGCTCATAGCGGTACATTTGACAAGACTTCAGCTAAGTATAAAGCTAGAAAAAAGCGTATTAAACAGCAAGAGCTCATATGTTGCTACAGAAAGCATGTCGTGCGTTTATTTTTATCAAAGTAAATTTCATAATTAGAGTTTTAAGAGGCTTACAACCAGCAACAAATATATTATTGTTATCAGATATTGTTACTAAAATCGCTTATCTACCTAAAGTATTATCCAAATTTGTCTTCAAAAACCCAAACTTTCTTCCTCAGGTCTTATATTGGCACTCACCGTTTTTCTGCTGGCTCAATTGGCTATCACCGCCGTCTGGAGCTACTTGCGTCAGCGACGACGAAAGCCCACCGTTAGAGAAAGTCCCAGCAGTTCGAAAGCATATGCTACACGTGGTGGCAACTCTACAAAAAGCTCAACAGCAATGAGCAAAAGCTCTACGAGCACGCGTACAGAGTCGCTGTGCAAAGTTTACGACCGAGCTTTCGACGGACGGCACGGCAGGCAATTTTAAGCGCATATGAGATATTTCTTCAATGAACAAACAAAAACATTGCAGAATGGACTAAATGGTGAGCAATTACTTTCGAAGAAAGTTATATTTGCAAGAAAAAAATCAGACAAGCGAATTTAAGCCGGGCGTTAAGCAGCAATTAGAAGAAAAAAAAAATAGTTTAGAATTGTATTTAATATTTAATTGAAACTCACATGCATTTTAATTTTACTCTTTACTATAAATGCCATGAATTCTTAATTGACTCAATTAATGACCATAAATAGATATATTAATAAGCGTTTCGAACAGCCACTTAAACAAGTCAATTAGCCGTTTTCGCTAAATATTGTTAGTGTTAATCTATCGCGCGAATTCTTAAAATTAGTGGCTTGTCTGAAATGCCTATAAGTATGTTTGTCGCACTTGAGAATAATTAAGCAACATTTATTTGCATTTATTTTATTTGAATCAATTTATGTCCATTTAGTAAAGCTTGAACATATTTATAACCACTAAGAGGGAATTATTCATTAAGCCTACACATACATACGTATAATATAGTAATTTAGTCGACTAAGTTAAAAGTGTAAATGAATTCGATAAATAAAAATCGATTAACTTACTTATAAAATGCTGCATTTTTTATTATCTATATTTTGAAAAGACACTATTTCAGAAATAGAAAATTAACGGTCAAGTAAGTATCTAATTTTCTCTCAATTTTTGAAAGTTCTTTCGAAATACAAATAACCAAAAACTTTTTTGAGTATCAAAGGTTACCCAGGTATAATACAATCTGAATTTGACTCAGATCGACAAAAAAAAAAAACATTTTCAGTTATTTTATTACCATATATAATGTAATAGCCTTTAAAGAAGAAGTATGTCATTTTCTATGATTAAACTAATTTTCTATAATCTTATCATCTCATCTTTAGTGCGTTCAGCGATTTTTGGTTTTTCGCTTTCGGGTCATCTTTGAATAGTTAGACAATTCACTAGATAGTTTTACAGTTTCGGTATCATATTCACAACCAATGACGCGTTTAATGAAAGTAGATTTCTCAGCTACATTTTCAAGCAGCTCTTTTGCCGTCTCCATTTGAGGTTGTTTTAGCAGAAGTTTCATTTCTTTTGTTGCAAGTCAAGTGACACACTTCTTCAAAATATTAACTAAAATGTGTCGAATCGAACCAAATCTTGAGGTACTCTGTTGTCTTTCTATTGACAACACCACGATTTCAAGCACTGTTTCCTTAACTTTTTCGATGTTATTGTCCTAAACAAGTCGAATGAAATAAGTTTTCGAAGACCTTCGTGAACTTCAGTGAATGCTTTGTGCCACTCAAATACTTGCTATTGCGCTAATGAAGACTCCCCAAAGGACTTATGCAATATTCTGAAAGACTCCGCGTCCCATTTTATTAATTAGTTTAGAAAACCTTCACCACCCTAACGGGGATTAGATACTCCGTTAAAACAACAAAAACTCCACATCTCTGACTCCATTGAAAGAAAATTTCAAGCGAGCTTATTGTTCAATATGTGATTTTTCATGACGAAAGCCGTCAAATATCAACAAAAGCTTTTAGCAATTAGCGCAAAAAAATAAATAAAATATGTCGATTTGTCAAATACGTCAACGAGCCTCAATATCTCCATTTTTGATTTACTCTTAAAATGATAATCTTATCAATAGACTTTAAAACGTTTATCTATATCAACTGGTACTCTGTATCTTGAATACTACAATATATAATAAAGTCATGCCCTGCACACTTCATTTAATTGGAACAACTTAAATTGCAAATCGACCAACAATATTGCTTGGAAGCTCCTTCTTCTTTAATGAAGTGACACCACTTACGCGGTTATAGGAGAATTAACAACAGCGCGCCAGTCCTTCTTCCATTTTGCTATTTGGCGCCAATTGGAGATCCCAAGGGCAGACAGGCAGGCTCTTTTCCATCTGGTCCTTCCAACGGAGTGTAAATCTTCCTCTTTCCGTGGCCAGGGTGCAAATTACCATAAATCTTCCACAAAACCTTTCTCTTTAGCACTCCTAAGGCCGACTCATCAAATGATGTCACAGCAGGACGGGGATCTTGAGTGACTTATAGTGTTTGGTCTTTGTTCGTCGAGAGAGGACTTTACTTCTCAATTGCATACTTCGTTAAAAGTACCAACTGTTGGCAAGAGTTACTCTGCGTTGGATTTCGAGGCTGACATTGTTGTTGGTGTTAATGCTTGTTCCAGCATTGAAGAAATTATCTACTACAAGTACTTCGGAGTTCTGACCGCCAACAGAGGCGTGGGAGTCGCCTTGTCTAAAACCCTGTTTGGTATCGAACGGCTCGAAGAGGTTCTTCCCGATCCTGACGGAACTTTTAGTGTTGCTCAACGTCAGCTTACATAGCCATATTAGTTTTGCGGAGGTACCAAATACAGAAATTGCGATATTAAGGCAGCTCTTTTTGGTGCTGCCGAAAGCAGCTTTGAAATCGACAAGAGGTGGTGTGTGTCGATTCTCTTTTCACTGGTATTTTCCAAAATTTGGTGCATATTGAATTGCTGGTCTGTTGCTGATTTTTCAGGCCTAAAGCCACAATGATAAGGTCCAATTAGTTTGTTGACGGTGGGCTTTAATCTTTCACATAAAACGCTAAATAAAACCTTAAACGCGATGGTGAGGAGGCTTATCCCACGGCAGTTGGCGCAGTTTGTAGGGTCTCCCTGTTTTTGGATAGGACAGAACACACTTAAATTACAATTGTTGGGGATGCTTTCGTCCGGCCATATTTCACAAAGAAGCTGAGCCGTGTTCCTCATCAGCTCTTCGCCGCCATGTTTGAATTGCTCGGCCGGTAATACGTCGACCCTACCGCGTTGTTGTTCTTAAGACGGGTAATTGCTATTCGGAATCGAATGGAATGTCTGCTCCATCGTCATCAATTGGGGAATCGGGTTCGCCTTCTCCTCGCGTTGTGCTTTCACTGAAATTCACCAGGGTGGAGAAGTGTTCCCTCCTCCACTCCATTGCAAATACCAGACTTCTGATGTGATCTGTTGCAATTTTCATTTTATAGGTTTAATGGTTTCTTTAAATTTGTTACGTGAAATCGAGTTTGGATACACAAAAACACCGTTTCAACTTATGTAGCATTACTAAATGGCAGTCAAGATAAACAAATATTTTACGAGGTCGCTGCTAAAAATGGGATTAAGAGGCGAATTAATCGAAATATTTCTGTGTCAACAAATGCCGAAAATAACTGTATTTTTATTGCGTTCTAAATATGAGCGCGCTCGTTAACGGAGCAGCTGCCGCACAGTGGCAAGTGCAGTGAAATTGGTGCAAATTGGCGAAAACTGGATGATGATGCGGCAAATAGTTATATGAGGTTAAGAGGATGCATGCACTTACACACATATATGCGTGTGTGTGTGTGTGCGAACACAAAGCGCATAAAATCACAACAGTAAATATGAACTGGATTTCGCTGGCAATAAAAGGTGAAGCCGAATCGATTTATTGCGGATACGATAGTTGCACTTGCAACAAACAAACAAAAAAGATAAAAAGTATATATAACTGAAAATCGACTGAATTGAATGGAAATTGCATTGTTGCATGCAACACCAACATCACGGCAATTAAATTCCGCCGCAAATATTTTGCCTTACAGCGCGCGTTGAATCATTAGCAAAACGTTCGTGTGTGTGTGTGTGTGTGTGTGGGTATTTATGCAAATTACTGCAGCAGTTAGTGCGCTTTCTTGCCTGTGTGAGTGTATGTGTGCGTGTGGTGGTACTGCCAGCGCGTCGCCATAGCAATTGCATGCTTAGAGAATTTACCGTAAAAGAATTTAATTGAGTTGCAGCAATTGTCGTTGCACTGCCGCCGCCGTTGTGGCAAGGTGCAAGATGTCGCCCATGTAAAGCATGCAACACGTGTGGAATTGTTGCAGATACTTTGCTGGCAATGTCCACCGTGCGGCACTTGACGCCCCTCTCACTGCTGCTGCTGGCGTTGATAATGATGCTGATGATGGTGATGGTGTTGCTGGTGACGCTGATGGTGGCGATGACAATGCAATACGCGATGCTGTTGCAGGAAACTGACCGCAAGCATGACACTTCCACTGTCATTTCAATGCTATAAATGTATGTGTGTGTGCGTGTGTGTGTGTGTGTGTGTGCAGCCGGTAGCGCAATGTTGCAAGCGAACGTCACTTGAGCATTGTCAGCCATCTGAAGCACTGTACGGTGCCAAATACAACAACAACAACAAAAAGAACAAGACATCACTAAAAATAATAACAGCAGCAAAAGCTATAATAGCAGCAACAACACGCGAAACTATAAAAACAACAACAACAATAACACCAAAAACAACAATAACAAATACAACAACAACATCAACCACTCAAACATCAACTACAACAAAATCAATACAACGATACAAATAGCAACAACAACCGCTGCAAAGTGCCACTGCAACACCTTGGTCACCGTTCTGCAATTGGCCTTGGCTGTCGCCCAAAATACCAACTCATTGCGCCAAGTGCAATGTGGCAGCTGTTGCCGACTCATGCAACATAATAATTGTGAAGCGCTCGCCGTCAAGAAGCTGCTAAAACGCCGCAGTTAGTGAATAGAAGAAACAAAACAAACAGAAACAACAATTGCATAAAAAAGCGAAATCTGCAGGGTAAACAAGTCCATTCGCCTCAATGCGCAGCTAACGGTACGGCCAGCTCAGCAGGCGTAAGAAGGAAAGTAGGAAGTGCAGTGCAGTGGGAAAGGCAGAACACTTGTATGTGCCGGTGGCATGGACAGTGAGAGTATGGAAAACTTAGAAAAGCGAGCAGCACTCCGTCAGCGCTGATATTATATTTCCATCAACTGCATTTGTCAGTGAATTGACAGATTTGCCCAGCCCACATGCACGCATGCGCACATACACACGCAAACATGTTGACGCGAAGTGTCATTAATCAGTTATGACACAGTGTTGGAATGTTAAGTGTTTTACAATGTGAAATTAAAAGTAATCAGTGGCAACGCTCCAATGCGTCAAACCGGAAAGTAAATGTGATATGCGACACTGAAGCTTACTTTTTGTACATGCATATACTAGTTGTTAAGAGGCATTTCTTTTAATAAAAATACTAATTTCATTTAATTGTGAATAAAGCTAAGAGGTTTTGTACCGGAATAAAGTGTATATGAATTTTGAGTTTTGATATGATTGAAATCGCAAAAAGGTCCACACATTGTTCTCAAGTGGCGCATAGATTATTTAAAGTCAAATATGTGGAATATAAGAAAGTGGAGTAATTGAAAACCTTCCTTAGCAGCAACTTGACAAAGGAACGCCCTCTGTTAAAAGCAAGAAAATACTGCACCGAAGCTTTAATATAGCTATGTTGACTCGATCTGAACAATTCCTTCGGATATTTCACGGTAGCACAAAACAATAGTTCATGGCAAAATAAAAATATTCATAAAAATTATGTAGTTGATCGCTCGGTTTATATGACTGCTATATGATATAATCGTTCGAAATCGGCGGCTCCATTTAATAAGCAGTTTCTCGGGGAGAAAAAGAAGTATGCTAAACTTTAGATT